TTCAAGCAGGTGAAAAATCTGTTTACAGTTATTTGAATCTAGAACGGAGCTTCATTTACATATAAATGTGAACTTGCAATTTCCATGGTCTCATATTCTCGGAATTTTCTAGGAATGCAACCACTGTGTAAATAGAGCAAACATGGGACTTTGTTTTACTTGGGACTTTGCCAAGAGTTCAGTTCCTCTCCTGTTGTAAAATCATGCCCAAGGATGAGCCTCATGGCAGTCCACACCCTCACCTCCATAGGTTTGTGTTCCAGGCAGCTGCATGCATGGTATTTTGGTTCTGGGAAAGTCCAGAACCACTTCATTGTGTTTAGACATTCAGAGTATGTACATATCAAGTACGTGTTATTTAATTATAAGTAATTTTGCTTGTTTTTCCCCTTTACCTCATAGTTAGGGCATTGATTTTATTTGAAGGTAGATATGAAGACAGGCCCTGTAAATACTTTTGTCACAAAGGGACTCTGGGTGGGGGTAGGGTGAAGACCCCCACATCAGTGCACCCCTTGCATGCCCTAATGCAGAGGCAGGGCTCAGAGATTTTTTTCTACTGAGTCTTCACATGTAAGCATCTGCTATACAGTTCATGTGTGTGTCTGAGTGTTAATTAAATGTTTGCATTTAATTACATTTTGTATTTTCTCTACATCGTAATGCTATATTATATTTTTAAATAAATGGAATATTAGTCTACAACCTGCTTTTTACATCTTAGACATTGATTCAGATCAACACAGTTTTACTTATTTTTGATAGTTGCATAATATTTTTTATGTGAGTCATAATCCATTTGCCAGCTCCTATTGGTAGAGTTTATATTTGTTTGCCATTATAAATAATTACATGATTATCATACATACATAGATATCATTGTGAATATACCATGTGAAATAAATTCCTTAAAGTGTATATAAAAGTACTGGGTCAGAAGATAGATTATGCGTATTTAAACTTTTCATAGATATTTCCAAGTTTCCCTCCAAAAGAAATTGCATCAACTCATACCCCGATAGGATAGCATATGGAAATACCATTTCGGGTGCCTTTCTGACACTGTGTTAATCTTCACTAAGTGAATGGTATTGTTTTTGAAGTGCCTCATGACTCTTTTCATTCTCAGCTTTAAAGTTATGAGTCAGTCCATATCCTTTTCTATACCATTGAGGCATCTGCATTTTTTCCCAATTCATATCCTTTGCCTCTTTTATCTATTGATATTTTTTTATTCACTTTTAAAAGCTCTTTATAAATTAAGGAAATTAATTCTGTCATCTGTATTTCACTCCCCCTCTCCCACCACAGTTTTGTCAGTTTTGGTCTTTTGGATGTTTTTACACATATACAAAGGATTTATATTATTTATATATTTTTTATTTTCTGTATTTGGACCTTTTTTTTTTTTGGTGGGACTGGAGTTTGAACCCAGGGCTTCACATTTGCAAAGCAGGCACTGTAGGGCTTGAACCACACCTACGGTCCATTTTGCTCTATTTATTTTGGAGATGGGGGTCTTAAGAACTATTTTCCCAGGCTGGCCTTGAACCATGATCCTCCCAATCTTAGGCTCTCAAGTAGCCAGGATTACAGGCATGAGCCACCAGAGCTGGACTTGTATTTGGAACATATTTTTAAAAGACCTTTCTTATTTTCCTTTGTGTTTTTTTTTTCTAGTTATATTATGGTTTCATTTTTTTTCCACTTAAAGTTTTGGTCAACCTAGAATTTACTTTCAACTGATACATAATTACACATATTTATGGGGTATATTGTGATGCTTTGACACGTGTACAATGTGTCATCATCAAGTCAGGGTAATTACCATGCCCATCCTTCAATGACCTATTTATTTTGATATCAAGAATGAGATAGGGATGCTCTGTGCTGGTCCATTTGTCAGTCTTCAGTTTCAATAATAATTCTAGTTATTATAGTTTTATCATATGTTTTAAATGTGCTCAGACTTCTATTCATTTTCATTACAGAAGTTTTCTAGCTATTTTAGAGCATTTATCTAGTACTTAGCACTGTTTTGACAAATTCAAGAAAATCTGTTGGTCTTTTCCTTTGGATTGCTTTGAATTATTGGATTACTTGGGGAGTTGGCACCTTTACAATATTCAGTCTAAAAGCAAGCAACATTGCTCCAGTTATTCTTAACAGAGTTTTAAAGTTCAATTTATTCCTAGGTATTATTTATATTTTTGTTGTTTAAGGGCTCTTTTCTTCTATTATGCTAACAACTGTTTATTTATAAGAAAGCCAGTGATTATGTGGATAATTAAAATAGTTCTAACATTTCAAAATTAAGTGTAATTCTGACTCTGGTCTATAATATGACTTTAAAATGGAAAAATCAAAATTCAAACAGATCTTTGGTGAAGGGTTTACCTAAAAACCCATTCCATGCCCAGACTTGCTGCTGGATTTATTAAAGACTTGTATAGACTCCAAGATGCCCAAACTATCCAGAAGGCCCTTAGCACCAACCTCCTGGGTCAGGGTGTTCAATCCACAGTCCTTTCTAGGCTAGGGGTGTAAGATAAATGAGGGACTCATTAGCTGGGGCTGTGGAGACCTGTCTTGAGGGGTGACTGCTACTAAGCTTCCATGACTTTGTGGGAATATGGCCCCATGGCAGCTCTTCTGATTTGTCAAGGGAAGCCAGAAACACAGTTTTTTTTTTTTTTTTAAAGAGTTGACTCAACATTTCTAAAAGCCCTATGTGAGCTCAACTAGATTAGCCTTTTGGTGAGCTGGCTACCTGCTTCTCACTTCTATGGAGACTCAGAAAGGTGACCCCAGACTCAACACTCACTGGACTATAAGCCACCCATAAGCATGTGTGAAAATGGATGTAAAGTCATCTTGGGTTCTGCCCCAGCCAAGTTTCCCAGGACCCCACATTCCAGCCCCAAGCCCTCCCTCTGAAATGCAGTCTCCTCCAGGATCTCATTTGGACATCACAAAGAGCCTGAGTGGCCTGGGCCATTTCACAGATGGAAAAACTGAAGCTCTGGGATGTGTCCAAAGACAGACAAGGGAGTAGCAGTACTGGGGTGGGCCCCCAGATTATCCTTGTGGCACAGACTCAAGTGTTGGATTGTGGCACCACCACTCAGTGGCTTTGATCTTAGGCAATTTGCATGGGAAATAGACGTGATGATAACAGGACCCACCTCCCAGAGTCCCCTGAGGACAGAAGGAGCTCCCATAGCAGGTGCTTGGTACTCAGTAAACAAGCACTCAGTCAAGTGACAGTGACTATGATCATGATTCTCCCTCCCACACACACACCTCCTAATTGTCTGTAGTTCCCTGAAAAGAACAATTCTCAAGTTTTTGGAGGCAGAGAGTCAGTTCTAACTGTCCCCTCACCCTGAAGACTAGACAGGTCGCTGCTCTCTCTGAGTCTTGCTTCTGCATCTGGAAAATGGGGTACTGCTCATCATGGGCCCTGGTGACACCAGCACAGAGGACCTCAGGGAACACCTGTGACTCCAGTATTCACTCCCTACCTGCAGGCTCAGCTATACTACAGGTTCTGCCCATGTCAGGTGCACAGGGACCAAGTCACTCATGACTCCCCATGTAGGACCCAGGCTTGCAAACAGGCCCCAGCTGCTTCATCCTGAGCCCCAGTGCTGACCTGACCACTCAGGTCTCAGAGCTGGGCCTCCCTGCCCTGCTGCTCAGGCCTAAGGGACCCCTGGACTGAGAACCTGTCTCACCCATCCCTACTCTTAAAGTTCTAGCCCAAGTCCAGTCCTCACATTCCCTGAGGTACCACAGCCCACATGCACGTCTAAGAATCCTTGTCCCTGTCACTATTTACTATGTCCTGCCCACCAGCCTGCAAAGGCATCCTGTCACCCCAGGCTGGACCCCAAGGTTCTGACCTATGTGCAACCCACCAGTCCCCCATTGTCTATATGTACAATATTGGAGAGTGCCTCCTGCCTGCCAGGTTGGACACCCTCCCAGAGCTGACCGCTGAGTCTGTCCCAGGGCTTCTGGGGTCTGGGGTGTGTGTGTGGGGGGGGGGTCCCTCTGCAGCTGTGAGCTCCATAGCGGCCAGTAACATGAAAGGGTTCTGTGAAGAGTAACAGCAGACATATTTGTTGGGTGCTTACCATGTACCAGGTAATTTCAAGCATCTTGTCTATGTGAATCTGAATTTTTCATCCTCGCAATAGTCCCGTACACTGAAAAGCCCAGACTGGAATTCTTACCTGACTTCCCAGAGATTACACACTAGTAAACAGTAGGTTCAAACCCAGCAGTGAGTGGAGGCCACAATGGGGATGGAACCCAGGGCTGGAGCATGCTAGGCAAGTGCTCTTCTATTGAGCTGTGCCCCAGGATGAGGACCTGCATGCTTCACACTGACACCTGATGCCAGTCACAGGCCTTCCAGAAAGGCAGCTGCTTGGCTTATACCCAGCACTTCTGGCCTAAGCTTCCTGCCCTTCTTGACTCAGCCTCTGTCTGGAAATTTGAAATGCTGATGACAGCCTGAGAGGAGTCCCACCAATCCTTGATACTAATATGACCAGGGCCACCCTGCTCACAAGAGGGAGAAATCCCAGACCTCTGAACACTTGGCCCCACTCCCAGGGGCACCTTTGACAGGAGGTTCCCCGTCCCTCTACCTGTCCCTCAGTTCCTTTGGCATTTGTTCTCTTCTGGCTTTATCAGGACAATGTATAGTCATGTCTCATCACAGGCACAACTGGTGGCCCCAGCAATTGCCACATGACCTGTTACACACCCTCATATCCTCATTAAAGAAAAAATCGCCAGTTATGGCCAAAAGCATCAACAAGCCATCTTCCCACCCACACATGCACACATTCTCTCTTCCTTTCTCTCTTCTCTCTCTTCTCTCTCCTCTCTCTCCTCTCTCCCCTCTCTCTTTCTCTCTGTCTCTCTCTCTCTCTGTCTCTCTCTCTCTCTCCCTCCTACTCTCCCACACACATACCAGGTGTCCTCACCTGTCACAATGGGGTAGGACTGTGGGCCTGGCACACTGCTCCCGATGTCAGCGGGGGTGGGGCTGGTCAGGTTGGCCTTCATGTCATCCAGCCCTCCAGCCAGCGAGGCCATGGCTGAATACTCGGTAGTCTGAAAGAGGAAACAGAGAAATCTCAGTGCCAGACTCTGAAGCACCCTAGTCAAATGCACCTCCATGCTCTGGACTCAGCACCAATCTGGCCTAGGCTAGGCCTGTGCTGAGGCCCAACAGGGGTCGGGGGTGCTGTAGAATCCCTTGTTGAAAGGGCAGACTCAGTTGGACAGAACAAGACAGCTATCCAGCATCAACAACTGTCCCCAGGTGAAGAGGTGGGCAGGAGGGGTCCATGCAGGCTCACAAGAAGTTACAGCTGGCTCTCTGTGGCCTGCAGGTTCCCCCAGCCCAGCCCCAGCTGGCAGACAGCCATCCTCCTCACAGCAGGGAGGGAGACACTGGTGACCAAGCAAGGTGGAAGTGAGCGTCTTCTTGTCAAGAGGATGTTCAGGATGGTTCTGATTTCTGTGCGCTCAAATCCAGGATAGAATCACAGAAACAGGGTTAAAGGGAACCTGGGCGATCACCAGGTTTCAGAGATGGGCAAACTGAGACCTGAGGGTAGAAGGACTTTGTCCATGGGAGACCAGATAGAATCACAGTCCAGGGAATGGGTCACCATAAACTCTCACCCTAAATCTAACATATCAGGGCAAGTGTTTTTTGAATTCCAGAAGCATGTAAATACCTGTGTACTGAATACTCTGGAGTTTGCACATCTAATTTACCAACCCCACAATAACCACGTGCATTGGCCCGTGAGTCATGCCCCTTTCTTTAAGTCATTTCATGAAATTGGAACTTGCAATGAGTCATTTCCTTGCCATCCAAGCCATTGTCAGGATGGTCTCCAGGGAAGGCAGTGAAGATACCAGCCTAACTCATTCAAGGACAGACTAAATTAGAAGCATAAGTAACTTGTCTCTTCTTCCACCCAACCCCCTGGACTACTTACAGTTAAAGAAAACATATGCAAACAACTGAGCCAAAGAATTTGGCTGTATGGGCCACGCTTTGGTGTGGGGAGCTTCTCAGGACCCTGGCATTGCCAATGAAGGACACAGCCCTGCCTGGATAGGGTTATGTCCTTGACAGGCAGGGACAGAAGGCAATCAGTCTTCGGAAAGGGGTTTCTGGCACCCTGGGTTGGATGTTAAGGACTGAGCTACTTGAGGGAAACCAAAGGAGCGACTGGGTAAATGGTCGGCAGAGGGACTTAGGCTCATTCCCTTCGTGGTGTATTTCTCTGCAAACCAGTTAGAAAGCACTTCCTGGCAGCTTCAATGTGAGCCACGGCTGATGGCAACAGTGAGTCCAGGAGGGGCTGCAGGCCCAGGTGCCCTGAGATGCTACTTGCTTAGGACAGTTTGGTCAGAGCCCTGGGGGCTCATCCATCATCTTCCAGAAGAGGCTAATTTTTGAGAAAAGCCCAGGCCAAAGCATGCCCAGGAACTTCCAGAAGAGAAGAACAAGGCTGGGGGAAACAAGCCTACCTATACCAGGAATCACTACAAAGCTACAGTAATTAAGACAGTGTGGTATTGGCACAGAGACAGATAAATAGACCAATGAAACAGAATCGGGGCCAGAAACTGATCTGTGCATATATGGAACCTTGATATATGGGAGAGGAGACATACAAATCAGCAAGAAAGGATGGAGTCTTTAATAAACAGTGCAGGGGTAGCTGGTTATCCATTCAGAAACAGGGGGAAGAAAGAAATTGGATCTTTGCACCAGACATAAAAATCAATCCCAGGTGGATTAGAGACCTAAATGCAAAGAGCAAAGGCATCTCACATGGTCAACCAAAAATCCATGGGCACTAGCTTGCCCTTCAGGGAAAGGAAAGGAGTGCTTTTTTGTCCAAAGAAGCTTGTGCAGGGTTCATGATCCCTGTAAGGACAGAAGCTGAGTCCCACTCCACCTGCTGGCCCTGCCACATGGTGCCAGGGAAATAACAACCATAATCTTCACAAGTGCATCAAAGCTCTCATGTATCAGGCACTTCCTGGTGCCAGAATTGACTGGTGTTCTCCCTTCTCATCTCATAGTGCCTCCATGAAATAGGCTCTGCTATCCCATTTTACCAGTGAAGAGTCTGAGACTTCCATTATGCAAGGAAAGGGATTTGCCTGAAGGCACACAACTTGCAGGTGCCAGAGTCAGGATTTGCACCTGGGTCCATCTCACTCTGACGTCTCAACAATTACCTTAATAATCTTCCCACTGTGGGTCCTGACCCAGTACAATGGTGAAACCACTCCACTGGTCTCAATAATTTTTAATGAAATTAGAAGGGAATAGGACAGAAAATACCCAAGGCTCTCATCCATAGACAAGGCAAGTCTTACATTGTGAATCTTTGTTTCACACAACAGTGGGTATGTCTGGTACTTAGGTGGAGATGAAATGTATTTCTTGCTATCACTTACAAGCAGCAATATTTGAAAAACACTGTCTTCACTGCCTGCAGCAGGAAGCTGCTGGGAAAAGGTTACTGCCTAGACTTCATACTTGGAAATGAACTTGGTCATGGCATTAGCCCCTTAGCTTGCTAAGAGTGACTTTGGAAGTAACACTCACCAGAAGCAGCTCCTTCAGGGCATTGCCATGTGCCAAGATGGGAGGAGTCCTCCTGCATGGCATCTTCTAGAGTTTTACGTTCCTTCCCTTCCTTCTGTGTCCTGAATACCCTAGTGGAGGCCTGAGCCTAGTGGGTGTGCATTTGTTCCACATTTACTAAGCCTTGATGTGTGTAAGATGGTGTCCAAGACCAGACATGCTCTTTGAACCTTATCCACAAACCCCCAGGAGACAGACACATAGCCCCAGATCTGCCATCGAGAGGGAGAAAAGCCTTTGCTGTTCATTTTCATGGAGTGGGGAATAGTCAGGAAAGGTTTTGGGGGGATAGGCCATATTTAACTGGGACTAAGCAAGCCCTGTCCCCAGGCTGAGGGAACAGCTAAAGGAAAGCTCAGAGGTGAGGGGACAGGAGTGAGGGACAGGAGTGAGGCAGACCCAGATGCTGCATGGTTGGAAGGGGTGGAAGTATGAAGGATGGAGGTAGAAAGGCAGAGCCGCTGGACTTGGACTAGGAAAGGCTGGCTCCATGAATACATGGATGAGCAATGGATGAGTGCTCCTTCCCAGGGCCCAGCAGCATCTGGTCAAGAGTCAGCGCCCCAGTCCTCCCCACCTCCTCCAAGACCTACCCTCTCCAACATGGCTGCATAGCTGGTAGCTGGGTCTACAGGGGAAGCCTCATCTCCCCCAAGCAGAAAGAGCCAACATGGCATAAGAGAATTGCAGAAAGTGTGGCCAATGGGTATTTCCTGCCTCTTAACGTATTTAATTTCCAAATGGAAATTGCTACTTGATTTTGTTTTAGTCAATACCTTCAGTATCAAGCAAAGTTCACCCAGTCACTCCAATAGTTGGCTTTGGATCATTTTTTCAAGACTTGAAATCTTCAACCTTTGTGACTCATGTAGTGGGAGGTCCAAAATTCCACTCAGCCACCACTATCTTCCAGAAGGCAAAGTGAATCTCCCTGAAGAGCCACGGCTTGAGGACAGTGGGACTCAGAAACAAGGGCTTGGCTGCCCTTTGTCACTTGTGCTTTCCATTGTCACCAACTGGCAGGGCTGACCCAGAGCTCAGCCTCTCTTCTTTGATGTATTCCACAGCAAATACAACGCTTCTGCATGAGCCAGGGGGTGCTGGCATTTAGTTTGGGTGTTTAATTGTCCCCAAGTCATCACTGCCTGTGATTTTTTAAGGGAAACTTCATTTTTCTCAATCTCTTGGGTCCCTGAAAGCACTGCTGCACTGGTTGCTCCTCTGATCTTACAGGCGCCACCCTGTCTGCCCTTCCAGGCCCATCTCAGTCACCTAGAGAGCTCCTACCTTGTCCACAAGACCCAGCTCAAATGTACGTCTTTGGTGAAGCCATTCCTGGCCCTAGAGCTCTACAGAGAAGAGCTCTCTTCTTTGAACTTTGTGGCATTTTCCTACCATGTGTCATGGCTGTTTGTCTGTCTCCCACTAGGTTGCCTTGAGAGTATGGAACATGGAACATCCCTACACCTCCTAAGTGTTTGTTGAATGAATGAATGAGACAGCACCATGATATAAGTCACAGTTCTGGAGAATTAACTGGAAAGTGCTTGAACGGCAGCTGCAAGTGAAATGCTAACTTCTACTGCCCTTCTCCCACCTCTATCTCTCAAGGCAGGTGACTGGAGAAAATGTCCAACACTAGGTAAAGCTCCTGGGGAAGTGCCTTCACTGCTGTATGATGCAAAAACACATGGTGAATGCATTTGTTGAGGGCAATTAAAAAAAAGATACTTTTTAAAAACTCTGGAAACACTGCCCATTAGAATATTCAAATTCCTTGCTCATCCCTGCTGTAATTCAGTACCAGAAAAGAAGTTTCTTTGCCCCAATGAATCATTAATTTGCCTCTGACTGAACAACAATATTAAAAAAAACACTGCATATCCCCTTTTGCTTTAGCTGCCAGGAAACTCAGTCAAATTCAGGCTCAACCACCACAACCACTTCATTGCTGGCTCCTGGTGCAACCACCTTCCCCTTTTCTCTACAAAATTTCTGATCCTTTTTTCAGATTTACTTAAATAGGTATAATTGCTTATTTTGTGGGCCACCTCAAGACATTTGTGAAAGTGGAAGCTGGGAGAGAAAGAAGGGTGAGAAAAAAAGAAATAAGGAAGATGAAAGAGAAAGAGAAGAACAGGCATTCTGGTGCCTTTCTCCTGGTTGTGATGACAATGTACTTCTATTTCTCACAGTTACTTGGGAAGCCCAGGCCGACCAGTAGAGTACCACGCAGAGTCACACATGTGTTGGTCACCTACCCCCTTGGGTATGTTGCTCCCTCCCACCTACCCCAGCCACAGCTGTGTTCCACATTTCTCAGATTCTTTATGCTCCCTCCCCAGTGGGACCCCCTGGTGCTATCCTTGACCATGACCCAAGAAGAAAAATGAGCTGAGGTCAGAAATTTAGACTTCCCATTCTAATGTAA